AAATTTTATATCACAAATTCATATTCATCATAATAATGTTTTTAATAAAATCAAATAATGCACTTTCTTTTTCTTTGTGTGATACTTGATTTGATGAACAATAAGTACAGTGACCTTTCATGTTATATCTATGATATCAAGTAGTACAATAGTCATGATCATGACCATGTTCACTCCCATAATTATCATATAATACCACAACTACTTTAAAGAATGGGAATAAACTATTGGGTTATAACCGATGATCAAAATATTAATAATGATATAATAACCTTTCATATATCTATCAAATTACCCTCTTGATATTACTATTATTGGATCATATTTGAGGCATGGAAGAATGGTGTATCTTCTCTAAAATATTTTAATCAAAATTATTTTCTCCACATGAAGTAATCGAAAATCTTTGTGAATTTATACTCGAGTAATAAATGGATACATTCATATCTAGCTTTTGGAAGATTTTTTTTTCTCTTCTTCAATAATCATATCTTCCTTCCAAATTATTTCTAGATTTTAATGAATTTTTTATCATCAAATGCCATCTTTTAGCCCTTTATGGAATTGATGACGAAACAATACTTTCAATGCAATTCTACAAGAATGCTTTATTTCTTTTAAGGAAAATTTATCTTTTTTTTATGGGATTCTTTATTCCCATCCATAATTGAATATTTACGATTCCTCGTAGTAAAATGAATCATCATCTCAAGAGCTTGTAGAAAATATTTGAAGCCTAATTTCTCAAGAGCAACAAGCTTAAATATTTTAGAAATCCTATAACAGCTACAAAAATTTTAAAAAATATTAGTATATTATATGAATTTAAATAATCATGAAAGTATATTAAAGATAATATGATATAAAGAGGAACATCTTACCTTAAAGTTTTATCCCAATAATCTTACCTAAAAAATATTGATTACAAGACTAGATCACATAGAGACCATTTGTATTGATAATGCATTATAAAATAAGTGACACTTAAATATGATGAAGTAAGAATATGTATAAAAATAAGGTAAGACAAGGAGGTATGAAGAGAAAAGAAAGTATGGCAAATGTGAATACTATAGTAGTATGCTTTCTATTCTTCCATTTATATATTTCCATATCTTTTCTATATCTTTTCTTCATACAATGCAAGCACATATATAGGTTAAGGGAGAATGAATGTTGCATGAATGAACTTAATTGAGGATTCATGAACAAAGTGGAACATTGAACAAAGTTTGCTAGTTCTACGAATGTGATGGTTCCATGAATCTAGTAGTTCAATGAATAAAGCTTGGTTCAATGAATGAGACTTAGTGATTCAATGAATAAAGTTTAGATGGTGGAAGGATGAAGGTGAAGCATCCATTCATTCTACGGTTCATAATATTTCAAAAATTGATGAAATTTAGAGATTAGTTAACTGAATACAAGAGAAATATATAACCTTTAAGGAGTGGCTCAATGGTTAAGAGTTTGAGATTTCAAGTTAGAGATCTCAAGTTTTGAACCTTAAGTCAGGTGGAGAGGGATTTAGGGAAAGGAAAGGACTATCCCATTATGTATTGCCCATTTAGATTTACCAAAAAAAGAAAAAAAAAAAAGAGAAATAGAATACCTAACTAACTAGTTATATAACGTCAAATCTTGAAAGTAGGATTAAGATAACACTAGCTTGTAGGAAAAAAAGTAGAGCTCTACTTTCTTTATATAATGCATATACAATTTTTTTTTTGGTGGTATACAATAAGGGATATGTCTCTCCTTCTTAAACACCTTCCCACCCTTCCTAGTTATCACAAGTTTCAAACTCCAATATGGAGGAGGCTCAAGTTGTTAACCACTAAGATGTCCTCTAAGATACATACACTACTAAAATTCCAACCTCCAGCAATATGGCACCACATCGGTCAAAGTCTTTGCTATGTTGTTGAAAGTAGGTTAGCAACATATACTACATCCATAATCTCTTTGTTGGAGATATTGTGGTTGATAATGGTTTATCGACAAGTAATACATCAGTGATAAACGAACACTTTTCAATAACAAAAGCCTTGTTGGTGATAAGATGGTTTCATCAAGAAGGCTTGTGTTGTTGAAAAGAGTCACCAAAAACAATGGCCAAAAGTGGACAACTTTTTCAACAACATATGCCTTGTTGGTGAAATCATACATTCACCAACAAGGCTTATGTTATAAAAAATGGTCACTGGAGATGGTCTCCGATGGTGGGTAGCCATTTTAGCAATATAAGTCTTGTCAGTGAATATATGGTTTCACCGACAAGACTTGTGTTGTTGAAAAGTGTCACTTCCAAAAGTTGAAAACCTTTTCAGCAACATAATTCTTGTCGGTGAAACCATACATTCACCGACAAGCCTTATGTTGCTAAAAAAGGTCACCACCCAAGATTCTCCCTCACAATTGATCCCCTATTCAACACCATATACCACGTCAGTGGATCTTTATTTTCAACAACATAACATACAATGCTAATATTTGAAATCACTTTTCACCACATACATCACATCGGTGATATTATTATTTTACTTTTAAAAAATAAAATTTCATAAAATTTTCCTGTAAATATTTTATAAACTATATATATGTCTCTTAAATAATAATTCAATAAATTTCTAATTTTATCAACACTTCATTCTATTAAAGTCATTTCATGGATCACCACTAACATCAAATATTCCATTAACATTTAAAAAAAAATTATTTGCATTCTTTCCATACATCTTAAATAATTTCATACTATCATTACTAACAAGAATAATACTATTATAAAAGTATATAAATGTATAACTATTAAATTAATTATAGTATTATCATACTTTTTTTCAAAAATAAAAAGAATAGTATTATAAAAATCACCTTTTTTAAAAAAAAAATAATTACAATCACCATACTAAATTCAATGGTAACTCACGTACAATATAATAAATTGTACTTGAAAATAGAATAATTATAAGCAAATAATTAATATTTACTTTGATTCTATATATACATTTTTAATTTTTTAAATACATTCAAATTAAACAACTCCAATCAAATTAATGTAGGTTGAAACAACTTGTCATACTTTAATTTTTTACATTAATGATAAATATCTACAAAATAAATAAAATACCAATAATGTTAGATACTATAAATAGTTATTTATAATTTTATTAACTTTAAAATAAATTGAAACATATTTAATCATTTAATATCTACAAGCATATTAAATATATTAAAATTAGAATATATGGTTGAGAAGAATCAAGGAGGTAATTTATGAATTGATATAAATTGAATTCATAACATATAGATGAGAATATAATGAGAAGATAGGAGAAATAATGGATATTTGGTGGACAATAAATAAAAAGCTTGAGAAATTGAGGATTTATGTTCAAAGTTAAAGTAAAATGTTTGATAATTGAAGGCGATGGCACTAGAGAAATAAAATGACCAAGAATGAAGGAGGAAGGAATTGAAAGAAATGAAGAGTACTGTGTGGGTGGGGGATATTTATAAAGCAATCCATGCAAGTTTACGCGCCTTTGGCCCCTTAATCACCGTATCCCAGGTTGCTGATAAACCTTTGAATTTCAAATTTACAACTATCACCAACGTTGTATATGTTGCTAAAACAAGAAATTAGATTTTTTTTTCTTTGCATTCACCGATGCTTAAAGTATTGTTGATTAGTTTTTTAAAATACAAAAGACTTTTTTTAGTTCTTGAAATTTATTTTCTTTCATGTTTTTTAGGTTACTTCATTAAAATTTTTTAACTACCTTATTAATTAACAAAATTACTTAATTCACATCTTAATTTAAGTGATATAGAAAATTTATTTTGTCCAAAAAACGATGTAGACATGCTTTTGAGTCTACATAAACATTTCATATACAATTATAATTTTTTTTTTAAAGTTATAACAAATTCAATTGTAGTCAAGAGTTGAATTTACAATATAAAAGTTGACTCTTTGTCAATGAGAGTCTATTCTTTAACATATTTAGTGACTGAACCAACTTTTCTCTTGAATTAAAGAGTCAAATCTTAAAAATGAGAATCAAATCTATCATCAAGAGTTGATTATTTATGGAGAGTGGACTATGCCCTACACCCACAACTTTCTTAACTCTCTAAAGTTTGGGAGTTGAATATTCACGTTATAGAGTCAAATTTGGATGCCTTAAGAGTCAATGACATCAGTTATGGTTATTTCTTTCACATATATACCACAATTATACGTTTACTATGCGCTACTCAACCCTTGTACATAAATCAAAAACCAGTAACATAATAACTTATGTATACATTCATTGTCATGTTGGCCCTAGTGCAAGGTAGTGCAAACCTTCATTCATTTCATGACAGCCACTTTACACCTACCAAATGTATATGTACGAGTTATATGTCAATGTCCACTTAAATGCTTAATAAGATGGATATATATATATATTTGAACATGGGGGAATTTGGGAGAGGGGTTTTTTTTTCAAGTCGTTGATGGGAGTCGAACTCCTGACTAAGTACACCCAACCACTTAATGCTTAGGGATGAACCATTGGGCCCAAAGGCTCAATTCTAATAAAATGGATATTTTGAATCACTGAATAAGGAAGTTAATATATTATATAACAGTATATATCTATGGAAATATAGTTATATTATAAACAACGTAATATGATGAAAAAATATTGTTTATCTTACTTTTGAACCACATAACAAAACTTTTTGTGTGCTTCTTGTAGTTTGAAAGGGTCGTATTTCCACCAACTTCTTCATCAAATATGCTGAAATATATACATAGTTAAGTATGACCAAATAAGGAAACTTTACTTTTGGTGCCTGCACAATTGGGAAAGCATTATTTAAAGTATTTAAAATATGAGTTTAGTTTTGGCATATCTCACTTGAGAAAGTCATCAACTTCCTTGCAATTTAGTAGGACATAAAGTTTAGTAACCTGCATCTCTTGAAGAGTCAAACATTTGGTCTGTGAATGCAAACCTATCGGTTGCCCAGGGCATGAAAATATAAATAATTGCGCGAGTTTAGAATGTAGAGCTATAACAAAGTTCCTTGGGGGTTGATTCCAAGTTGTTTCAACATCCTTACCAAAGTAACATGAACATAAATGTGTTATATCGTACAAGATAAAAAATTCCACAATGGATGCCTAACATGATTTTTGTTCCTAATCGTTTATTTAAGCTTCCAGACCTGTTTGTAAATATGAATTAAGTCAATGGGAAAAGAAATGGTTCCATGACCCGTAAAATATGAAACATGTGCAAACTTGTTTCCATTGCCTTTCAAATTGGTACATCCAGTGGAATTATACGGGACCACCAATTTGAGCCTTGAAAGGAAGATGGATTGTGAGGTGCTCCATACAATCAAAAA